TTTTTGCAGCAATCCAAGTGAGTGATGATGTTGGTGTAAAACAAGGTGAGATTAGTAGAGGTCATGAAAAATGGTAGGTTTCTGGATATATTTTGAATATAGGATCAGTTGGTGTTTGCACATGAGTGAGGGAGAAAGAGTGAAGAATGACTCCAATGATTTTGGCTTTAATAAAGAAGATGGAGTTGCCATCAAATTATATGAGAACACTATAGATCAAGGAATTTGGGGGAGGATAGACCAAGAGTTCAATTTTGAACATACTAAAATTGAGATATCAATTTGACCTTAAAGAGGAGAAGAAAAGTAAGGCATTGGATATATGAATCTGTAGTTCAAGACACAGGTCTGTTCTGGAGTAATACAGTTGAGAATCATTGCCATATGGATAGTATCTAAAGTCTGAGACTAGATAAGATAACCAAGGAAATGATTGTTATAGTTAGAGGGGAAAAAAAAGCGAATCAAGTAATGAGCCCTGGACCATTTTACTAATAGAAGGTTTCAGAGAATAGGCAGGACCAAGGAAATAAGAAGGAATAAATAACAGAAAAACCAAGAGTATTTGGTATTTTGCAAGCTGAGTCATGAAAATAAATCAAAGAGGGAGAAATCAAGTGAGTCAAAAGCATTATCAAAGACTGAGAAATGACCACTAGGTTATCAAATTTAAAAAAGAATAAGAGGACAGCTGGTAATGTGCTAATTAAGGTGGCTAGATCCCACATGGTCAACTACATGGTTTGAATCTGAGACCCAGTGGCTTGGAAAACACACCTAGTGTGTGCACATATGTGCCCAAAATCCTGAAAGGAGAAATGTAAAAGAAGAGATTGCAAGGTGTCTATTCCCCACCACCACCCCAACCCCCACTCTCCCCAGGGAGCATACACATCATCTAACATAGTTTTTTTTTTTTAAATAAATGGGTGAAGGGCGGTGTCATGGGCAAAGTGAGTAACACAATTGTGAGAGAATGCACAGTGATTTCAAGCATTTGTTTATAATTGATCCCAAGTGGTCTAGTCCTGTCAGTACCCTCAGTTTTTCTTATGGAAGAAGACAGAAGTGAGTCTCCTGTGAAGTGTCTCAGAATGGTGGGCAAGCTAAGTGTCTGTCTCCAACACTTTTTTCCTACTCTAGGGTGAAAGTGTGAGAGCATGTGAGGATTCCAGGTCCACTAGTGGAAACTGTGCCTCACTGGCTTAGGTAGCTAGAGTTCACAATATTGGAAACATGTTTAGTCCTTGGACGCATAATTGTGGGATGTCTGCAGTGGCTGTGAGGACTTTGGGGGTACTTCCCTTCCCAAGGCTAAGTCTTTCCCAAGGATAACAAAGAGCTAGGTTAGGAGTATGTCTTTCACATATAAACAAACAAATTCCAAGACTATAATGCCAGACACCTCCTTATCTTATTCTCGTACATTAAACCAATATCTTTTCTCCCCTAAATTATTCTAGGGCCAGGTACCAAGTAACTAGAGAATGCCTCTATAGCCCAAAACAAGCCAGACTATTATAACCTAGTTAATCCTAAACTGTTTATCCTGTATTATTTTACCTTCATCATAGAAACCCCAATAAAATCTGTGACCCAGACATTCCCTTCACCTCTGTCTTCTGCCACCAGACTAAAACCTGGCACTTTCCCTATAGCCTTCTTGGCATACAGTGACTCTCTTTCTGAGACCTATGAGTACAATAATACTCCTCCTTTTAAGTCTTCCATTTTCTCCTGTGACTGCACCATATCCAACTTGTACATTCTTAGAAATGTATCATAAGGCATTATAAATCTCAATTAATAGGGCAGTTTTCTTTCTTTTTCTTTCAATTTTGTTTTTAAGAACATGAAATTGTGATATAGTTTTAAGGTCTAGATAATGAGATAATGGACCAACCACATACTTTTGCCTTTAGTTTCTCTCTAAACTGTTTTGAAATAAAACTCTTGGAAGTATGAAAATATGTAGGGAGTGGCTAGATCTAAGCAGAGCAATGGTAACCTTTAAAGATGAGCAGAGACAAGGACCAGCAGTTAGCGTAATGGCTATGTCGCTGGACTCCCATGTAGTCGACCGCGGTTCATGTCCCGGACCTGGTGGCTTAAAAGTCACGCCAGGCACGTGCGTGCGTGCCCAAGATCCCAAGAGGAGAATGGAGGAGAAGGGATTGCGGCGTGGCCATCCCCCCTGGGGATTTCTTATTTTCTGTCTCTCTGTCTCTCTCTGTCTTTCTGACAAGCACATGCACCCTATAGCAAAAACCTCTCCAAAAAGAAAGAAGAAAGAAAGAAAGAGAGAGAGAGAGAGAGAAAGAGAGAAAGAAAGAAAGAAAGAGAAGAAAGAAAGAAAGAAAGAAAGAAAGAAAGAAAGAAAGAAAGAAAGAAAGAAAGAAAGAAAGAAAGAAGAAAAAGAAAGAAAGGAAAACAGTCCCTCTATAATTAAAAATCAGAGGGGCTGGCAGGCAGCGTGGTGGTTAAGGTGCTGCTGGACCCCCACATGGCCAACCATGGTTCAAGTCCCAGACCTGGTGGCTTGCCTTCTCATTCTCCCTCTCCCTCTCTGTGTCTCTCTGTCTCTCTCTGGTCAAATTGAAGAATAATAATAAATAAAATGATTTTTAAAAAAATAAATCAGAAAGGCAGAGCTAAAACTAAGGAAGGCTACTTAGCTGCAGTCAAAATCAGAAGGACAGGAAACAGATGGCCAAAAACAATGAAGAAAGTGAGTAAAGCAATTTTTGCAGACAAAAAAGTATCTTTCCCCTGAGAATTCCTATATAGATAATATATTAATGAACTTACAGAGGCAATTGACATGCAACTCTAGGAAAAGCAATGTATCCTACATGATTTAATTATTTCACATTGTATACATATATTAAAAATCACACTACTCCATGAACATAACATAATTATGACTTGTCAATTTAAAAAAGTCTTGTTTTTTAAAAATTAGCAGTACCCAACCAATCACATTCAGTAGCTATGCAAAATTTATGTTCATTAATTCCACAAATATTTAATGTGCACCTATCAGACACTTACAATTTTTGTGGTTCTGATAGGAAATGAAACAAGCAAAAAGTCATTCTCTAAAAATAATTTTGGATGGGGCCAGCATGGTGGTTAAGGTACTGGACTCCCACATGGAGGAGAAGGAATTGCAGTGTGACCCTCATCTTTGGGGAGTGATTTCTCACTTTCCTTCTTTTTGTCTCTCCTCTCTCTCTCTCTCTCTGGTGAACACACACACCCTATTACAAAAACTTTTAAAAATCTTGGACACTATATTATCTCTGTTCATACTTATTACTTCTAACCTTTTGGAAGTGGGTAGAATTATTCTGCATGTGAACTAGTAAGAGATCCTGCACTAAATGAGAGAAAATAAAACCCACACAAACTACAGAAAAGGAAGATGGAAAATATCATGCAATCAATTCTGTTTGGGCTTTGTTCTAACACTTCCCATAATGCTAACATCCCAAGACATATTTTTTCTTTTACTTTCAGTATTTTCTCTATGCATGTATATATGTGTATTTTTTTCTGTTTGTAAAAATTTGGTTTATAATCCATGTACTATTTTGTATAATGCTTTGTCACTTCAAATTATAATAATTTCCAAATGTATTAAAACATTAATATTTAGATTTTTTTTTTGAGAGGTTTTAGCTATAGGGCACGAGTGCTCACCAGAAAGACAGAGAGAGACAGAGAGACAGAAACTGCAAAATCACCCCCTGGGGAATGGCCACACCACAATCCCTTCTCTTCCATTCTCCTCTCAAGATCTTGGGCACGCACGCACAGGCTCCCAGCATGAGTTTAAATTACTGAGTCCGGGACTCGAACCATGGTCGACTACATGGGAGTCCTGCAACATAGCCATTATGCTAACTGCTGGTCCCTAACATTTATATTTTTAAAAAGAGTTAAGTAATACTATGAAGGTTCAGAAAGGAAATATGGAAGAATATTTATCTGATTGTAGATAAGGAAAAGCTTTCTAAGCAGATATGAAAAGACTCATAATTTGAAACTCTGATTTGGCTCCTTAAGAATTAAAATGTCTTTACAGTAAGAAATGCCATCAAAAACGTAAATAGTAAATGGAAATCATTAAAAGAAAAAAATTTAAAGGTTTTTTCCATAGGACGTGTGCATTTGTCAGAGACAGTGAGAGGAAAAGTGAGACATCACATGCTCAGGGTGGATGATCATACCGCAATCCCTTCTTCTCCATTCTCCTGAGATTTTGGGCATGCACACACATGCATCTGGTATGATCTTCAAGTCACCAGGTCTGAGACTGAACTACAGTTGGTCATGTGGGGGGTCTAGCACCTTAACCATAATGCCATCTGCTGGCCCCCAAAGAAAGATATCTTTAAAATTGTATGACAAACATTGACTAAATAGTCTTAAAAGGTGCTTTTAGCAGTCAATAAGGAGAATATATATATACAAACTTATACAGAGAAAGGCAAATAATATAAAGATGTAGCTCGCCAAAACTTTCAAAACATTTGTATCTATATATAGTCTATATGAAATGAGTATCTGCCTTCTGTACTAATCAAAGATGAATAATAAAATAATGAAGCACCATGTTCACCATTTAAAATTGCTAAAAGCTGTTAGTAAATGACTCTATTCAGTACTGTTGGTGGCTGAAAAAAGGGAATTCTCTCATACACCAGCAGGGAGAATGTGAAAGTGTTCAGTCTTTAACATTATAATCAAAGTATCTTTGACTCAGTCATTTCTCTTACATTCAAGGAAAAGACAGGCTGGGTCTCTGAAGAAAGATAGCAGGTTCAATTTAAAGAGGCTGTAGTCAGAGGTGGGGCCACGCAGGGGAGTGGGGGGAAGGCACCGAGGGCGAGGAGGAGGGACAGATAATGAAGATTGTGAGGTTTCCTTTGTGACGCGTGTGACTATGCCAAAGGGTCTCAGTGAGACTAGAGCCTAGGCAGTGGTGGCAAGCCAGAGAAATGCCATGGCAGGGAATCCTCAGCCACAATCTTTAAGGGCTCTGGGAATCTTTATCTATGGGGCTCTTAAGCAGCCAGATCTTGCACCACAGGGAATCAGACACAATAGATCTGCAGCTAGAAGCTCAATCCAGCCCCAGTAACTTATCAGGAAGCCGCAAGTGCAAGCAGAGCAGCGGGCCATACTTAGGCTCCAGATCTGGCAGCCATGGGTCTGTAAACAAGGGAGAGAATCTACAGCATATCCTCAGCACAAGTTATGGGGAAAAAATGATCCCATCCAAGTATGCTTACCAAACTTTATTTTTGAACGGGGAAACCAGTGATATTAAAATTCGTGCTCTGGGTAAAGTATGGTGTTTACACAAATTATTTTTGTGTCAGTCAGGCTACTTTGCTAATGTGTTCAGAGACTCTTGGGAAGAATCTCACAAAGATATTATTGAACTGGAGATTAATGGCCAAAACATTGATGTAGGATCCTTGCACTTTGTACTAGGTTCATTGTACAGGGACGAAGATGTTTTAATGGAGCCTCTTCAAATTCCAGGAGTTTTGGCAACAGCATGCCTGCTTGAGGTAGAAAACTTAATTCAAAAGTGTGATGAGACCATGAAGGAAACGATTAATACAAAAACTGTATACAGTTATTATGCAGCAGCAGAAACCTATGGGTTAGATACTGTAAAGACACAGTGCTTTGAATGGCTTCTTCACAATTTGATGACACAACTAAGTGTTACACTTTACAAAGAACTCAGTATAGATCTTATGAATCTGCTCATCTCTTCTTCTGATTTACTAGTAATGCAAAAAGAAATGGATGTCTACACCAGACTTAAGGAATGGATGTTCCTGCGCCTTAACCCGACTTGGAAGGGCTCATTGAATCAGCTTTTAGTTAATGCAAACAACTGGTTTTCCAAGCACAGAGAACATGGCAGCAACACCGCCTTTCTTGAAACAAAAGAAGGTATAACATTTCAACCAGTGTTTAAAAAATTGAGATTTCAGCATATCATCTCTGACTTGGCTTCCATAAGAGTTATTGAACAAGATACTCTAATACCTTCAGAATGGTTATCATCTGTTTACAAACAACAATGGTTTACCTTGCTTAAAGCACAACAATGTGGGGAAATTGGGCCTAGAGACATCAACAAAACAGAACTTGAAAGTTACAGCTTGAGGTGTGGTAAAAGGATTCTAAAGGATGGAAAATATTCTTGGAAGTGGTCAGGTTACAATTTTGGCTTTCCCTTACATGTCATCTTTACCAGCCATTATATCACATTCTTCCCCAGCCATTATATCATTTTCAAGCAAAATATTTATAGTCAGCTGTGTGAAGATTCTGCCTGTTTACAATCTCTAAGAAATATTGCATTCAGATTAACTTTAGTCTATTTTGATTCTAGTGGAAAACTAAGTTTCAGCAAAACAACTGATTATAAAATCTTTACCTTTGTAAAAGATGAGGAGCAAGTGGTAATGAAGTTGGATGGAATAGCTTTGAGCTTCCCTTTATATATATTCTGTAACTTCTTGTTTGTATCATTAGAAAATACAGTCAACTGATAATCTAGTCAATTAGAATGTATTAGCATTTTGAAAACTTTTGATTCACCCTTTAGTTTAATAGCTCCACTGTTAGACGAACAAAGATAACCAACAACAAAAATGAAAATAATCTTATGAATGTGGTAACATCACAAATGATAACTCCTTATATTAATTTTATTTCTATGAAGATGAAGTCATTCCAAAAAAAGATTTAATTTTCAAGAAAATATCTGTCAAACTAGACAGTTGATATGCTAGCTAGCATCTTTTGATTTTTGTTTCCCATCAACAGCCAATCTCCAAATGGACATACGAGATATTTCCAAGAAAACAAAACTAAATTACCTTGTTAGATAAATTTGACGGTAACTAACATTGAGACAAAAATAAAAAATTCTCTCCCTTGCTGAAACTGTTGTGCAAAAGTGTTTTTAACTGCAGTAGTATTACAGGGGAATCAGTTATCAGGTAAAATCTGAAATTAGTAATTCTGTTTTAGACTTGTAATGTGCAATTTTGAAAAACCAGATAATGTCAGATTTTACAATGTTACATAATATACAACTTAATGATCTTAAACAATCAATCTGACCATTGATGTTTTGGAGAACTGATGCACATATATACACACTTACATAAAATATAACATATAATTTAACATAATTTATAAATACATACAAATAAATATTATATGTCCATGTATATACATATTCATATTTATATGTACATGAAAACCAGAGAACAATAATATTTAACATGGTTAAACAATCATTGTAATAACAACAGTTATCTCTGTGGATATCAAGATGTGAATAATTTCAAAGTATCCTCTTCATTTTTTCTATTTGTGCTTATATTTAGTTTACTTCTTATTTTTATTTACTTATTTTAATAGAAAAATAATAATTATGTACATTTTGGGGTATAATGTTATGTTTTGGCATATGTATGCATTTAGAAAGATTCAATCAAGCTAATTAACATACTCATCACCTCACCAATATCATTTTTTTGTGGTTAAGATGTTAACAATCTTTTACCAAATTGAAATATATATAATTATTAACTATCACACAACTCAATTGCAAGAAAATAACCCAACTGAAAAATGGGTAAAGGGTCTAAAAAATTTTTCAAAGGAAGAGATATGAATGGTCAACAAATGCTTCTCATTTTTGTCAGGACTTGTGCTTGTCTGAAGAGCATTTAAAGCAGCATTTATTTCAAAATAGAAGCCAATAAGATAAATAATGTTACTTCTTCTAAACGGTCCATGAACTAGGAATAGAGGGCCTAGTTTATTCAGCTGACTGATATAACTAACTTCAAAGATTTTATAACACCTTAAATGGTTCTTATGTTGAATAAATGTTAGTCTTTTTTATTAAAGCACACATATTTCATTATATCACATCCTCGTTGAGTACCAAGTCAAGAGCAATTTACTTTAATGTGCTTACCACAAATCATTTTTCAATGTCTATCTTTAAGACCCTCATATTCTCAAGAATAGTAAGGGTCTTATAATAATTTACATTATAATTTTAGTGATTTTATCTGTTTTTTTTGATTAAGAAGGTAAATTGGGTATACTCTATTATTTGTATGATGATTACTTATATGATTACTTATGATTTTAGGTCACCCTTTTCTTGGTGGCTTGTTTCTATGCCCCTTAGGACAAAGTAAATTGCTTCAGACCGCTTGAGGTTTGTTCTGACAAACATTTTGTCTAGCTTGTTTTCTTTTTCCACTGTCCCTGTACTCTGGAGATAAGGAAATGGTATGAAATCTGAATTTTTTTATATTTCTTTTACAACCTTTCTAGGAAAATGAGTGCATCTATCATGTAATATCTCCTGATATTAAGGGTTAACACTTGGCATGAACGGAGCTCAATTTGTGTAGAAAACAAGTAATGAGAAATGGAACATTAATTATGAGCAAACAATAGTGAACTGAATAAATGCTATTTGAAGGCTTAGGTAGAGACCAAGAGTAGTGTGTATTAACTTAAATTATGTACAAGTTTATTCATATTTTGGGTTTGGCAGAGAGTATATTCAACAACAATTCTATGCTACTTTGGAAAAATATGGAGAATGACAATTTAATTTTCTACCCCTTGCTCATATGTGACACGAAATAAGGTACTTGAGGAAAATGGACCAGAATTCCTCTTTGAAAAAAGTAGGCAGGCTTTTAGGGAGTATCACAAATTACTGTGATACTATGTGCAATACTGCTTTTCCCTATGGTTCTCTCTCAAATTTTTGGATCTTTATCTTGTAAAAGTGTCAAGGTTTAACATTTAGAATTGAGCATTCATTAAGGTGTTATAAAAAGACTTGGGACCAGCAGATGACACATAAAAAGACTTGAGACCACAGGCAATGTAATGGTTATGTCGCTGGACTCCCACGTGTCAACAACAGTTAGAGTCCTGGACCTGGCAGCTTAAAACTCAAGTCGGGCATGTATGCCCAAAATCTCAAGAGGAGAATGAAGGAGAAGGGATTGTGGCATGGCTATCCTGACCCTGGGGGGTGATAGCTCACTTTCTTTCTCTCTGGTAAGTGCATATGCACTATAGCAAATAATCTCTCTTTTATATATATATATATATATATATATAGCATGTGTGCTTAGGGCATGTGTGCTTTCCAGAGAGACAGAGAGACAGAAAGTGAGAAACCACCACCTGGGTGGATGACCGTGCTGCTATCCCTTCTCCTCTATACCTTCTCCTCATATCTATATACACAATCACATAATCCTATGGGTCTTTTTGAAAAATGCCATCAGGAAAGGCAAAATGTTTTAGGTGTCATTATAAGACAAAGGACACAGTGAAGTAGGGTGACACACTCATGGAACTCAACATTTGTGACAGTAATAAATAGCAGCATGATTAAGTGGAGTACACGGATAAGTTTGGATATGAGGAGCTGTTAGTATCATTGGTTCAGTACAAGTAGATATCACCATATATAGCAAACTGTCACAGTGAAAAGCTAACTATGGAAGGTAACTTTAATTGTAGTCATAGAGCATATCACAAATCATAATTTATTAAAATGTACCCATCTAATTCTAATGCTAGAGAGAAATCCAATACTACATATACTCAAAATCCAATACAGGTCTTATAATAAGTTAATTTATTTTTCAGATGGAAACAATGTGAATACAACAAATGTTTAGATCTGAATTTGTATATGTATATGTTGGAATGAACAAACTTTTTAGGATGGAACTAACATTTTAAGATAGAAGGAAAAAAGGATACATTTCCATATGTAAATTTCAACACTCTTTGATTCTGTCTTTAAACATTGTGCCTGACACTATTAAAGAAAAAAAATACCAGTATCATGCTGTTTTGATTATCACAGCTTCGAAATATATATTAAGGTCAGGTAATGAGATGCTTCAAGTTTTATTCTTTTTGCACTGTATTGCTTTGTTGATGTGGAGTTTTTTAGGATTCCAGACGAGTTTTATGATTGTTCCTTCTGTTTCTGTGAAGAACATCACTGGGTCCAGCAAGCAGCATGATTGAGGCACTAGAGTCCCATGTGGTCTACTGTGGTTAGAGTTCCAGACCCGGCGGTTTGAGATTCACACCAAGTGCATGTGTATGCATGCCCAAAATCCAGAGAGGAGAATGGAGGAGAAGGGATTGTAGCAAGGTCATCCACCCAGGTGGTGATTTCTCACTTTCTGTCTCTCTCTGTCTCTCTGGAAAGCACACATGTCCTATAGCAAAAATCTTTCTCTCAGAAAAAGAATATCACTGATAATTTGATAGTAATTGCGCAGAATTTGTAAATTACTTTGCATAGAATTGATATTTTAATTATAGACACACCTCGCTTAATGATCAAGTCCCATTTCTGTGGTTAGGTTGCTAAATGAGCTGGTTGATAAGTGAGGAGCTTAAAAGGCAGGTGTCTTGTGGTGTGTCACAGTTTATAGTATGTGACCACATGCTTAAATGGGAAATTTTCAGTAATTATTCCTTTGAATATATATGGACTCTTTTTCTCCTCCTGAAACTTCTTCTAAGTGAAGATTAGGTCTTTTAATGGTGTCCCATGATTTCCATAGGGTTTATTCATTCTTTTTTCTTTTCCTTTTTCTAAGAGTATTTTTGAAATAATTTCAAACTCATAGAAAAGTTGCAAGAACAAAACAAACAACTCTTATATCCTCATCCTACGGAGTTTCAGACTTAATATTTTATTGCATTTACTCTATTGTCCTGTGTTATTCTCCTGCTCATCTCTCTCTTTCTCTGCCACTACAACCATCTTCTCTTTCTGGTCCAAGATCCTATTTGGCACATACAGTATATTTACTTTTCTTTTCAGGGCTCTTCAGTCTCTTCCAGTCTGGAAGAATTCCTTGGGTTTTCCCTGTCTTCCACACCCTTTATGGTTTTAAATCATACGGCCATTTCATTTCCTAAGATGAATCTTAATTATCTGGTGATTCTTGATGACCATATTTAAGTCATGCATTCTTGGCAGAAACATTATAAAAGTAACACCATTCTCAGGACTTCACAACAGGTGCCAACTCTTGACCCAGCCTACCACTGGTGATGTGAACCTTGATAATCTGGTCATCTGGTGTCTGCAAAGTTCTACAAATGTTTATTTTGTACCTAAATCAAGTTGTTTGATAGTTATTCCAAAATTACACCAATATCATTTCACTTGTATGATAGCTTCCAAATAGTGATTCTCCATTTACATCACTATTTCTTTGGTTTTTAGTTGTCATTTCACTGAAAAGTATAACTTATTTATATTAAGGAATCATAAATTCCTATTGTTTTTTTTCTTCTTCTTCTTCTTTTGGAGAAGTTTTTACTATAGGGTGCCAGAAAGACAGAGACAGAGAGACAGAAAGCAAGAAATCACCCCCCAGGGGTGATGGCCACGCTGCAATCCCTTCTCCTCCATTCATGTCTTGGGATCTTGGGCACGCATACACATGCGACTGGTATGAGTTTAAACCACCAGGAGGTCAGGGACTTGAACCGTGGTCGACTACATGGGAGTTCAGTGACACAGCCATTAAGCTAACTGCTGGTCCCAATTTTCCACATTTTTAATGGAGGGAGTCTCTTCATGACATTTTACCACTATTTACTAACTATACTTTCTGGCACACTAAAAGATGCGTCAGGTTCATATTGTACTTTCTGTGCCTCAGCACAGAAATGAGCCATTTTCCCAGGGAGGTACTTATAATCCCCATACTCCCGCCAAATGTACAATCAGGTACATTTCTAAATATTGAAAACTCAAGAGAGAGTCAGCTCTGTGGTATAGTAGCAAGAAAAACTGGATCTCACATGGCAACCATGTTTTGATTTCCCAGTCCATGTCAACCTGAGACATCCTAGGCATGTGTATGAGTGCCCAAGATCCAGTGAGTTGGAGAACTGAAGAAAAGGGGATTGTGGTGTGACCATATCCTGTAAAGGGTGCTCATTTCTCTCATTCCCTTTCTCTTGCGATCCCTCTCACATGCATGCACATGTGCTCCCATAAATAAAGAAAAATAAACTGAAGATAAAAAGTATACCTGGAAGAAATGTATAAAAAGGAGGTAGACCAGAGAAGAGTTTTCATGGTCCTGGCTCATTTTACATCAGCTGACAAGTGTGCACACTTCCTAGCATTTTATTTGTACTCAATATTTTTAGTATTAACTTGCACCTAGTTACTAGATTTTATTCTTTCTCTGAGGTTGGTTATATGGCTTAGATGGAAACAGTTTTGGCTATTAACCCTTTCAATATAACCCCATTAAGATCTATTGGATGGGACAGGGTAAAGAATTCATTCCAGGGGTCCAGTAGGTGGCATAATAATTATAGCACTGGAGTCCCACATGGCTACTGTAGTGGGAGTCCTGGATCTAGTGGCTTGATAATCACACCAGGCACATGTGTATGCATACCCAAAGTCCCAGGAGGAGAATAGAGGAGAAGAGATTGTGGTGTGGCTATCTCCCCCAGGGGTGATTTCTCACTTTCCCTCTCACTGTCTCTGTCTCTCTCCAGTGAGCACATGTACCCTATGGCAAAAACCTTAAAAAAAATAATTCATTCCAGTTTGCTGGCTAAACATAAGGAAGATTCTGGAAAATATCTGGCAGTTTGCCATGCCATTCCTAATCAAACCAATAATACTGTCTTCAGAAACAGAAGTGCTGATAACTTAAAATTTTTGCGGTAGTCTTAGAAATTTGTATTGTTGCCTGCTGAGCCTCCTTGACAAAATAATTAGCTTGTAACAGGAAACAGCAGTTGGAAGGTGGAGGGAGAGATAAAGACACAATTGATCCCTGCGATATTTTGCTTTTCTGAAAAGATTTCAGGTTTTGCAAAGGTCTCTATTTTTTTCTATTTAAAAAATAATTTTATTGTAATTTTTATTTACATATAATCATTGTATATCTTTGTGAGATACAATGTGATTTTTTTCAAAGCATGTATACAGTGTGTAGTAACAAGATAAAGGAAATAAACATACTTGCTATCGCCAACATTTATCATTACCTTGTGTTGTTCATAATTTAAATTCACTCTATTGGTTTTTTTGAAATATGTAAATTGTCAGCAACATTCTTTACTGAGCTATACTATTATAAAAACCATTACATTTGTTTACATACACTTTTATGTCTGTTAAATAATTTCTCCCCATTCCCCCACACCCTCCCCATTTCCAGTTTGTTATCCACCATTACAGTCTACTTCTATGCAATCTATTCTTTTAACTTCTTCAAAAGAGTGTGAACTCATGATTTTTTTTTAGAGAGATATTTTTGCTATAGGGTGTAATTGCTCGCCAGAGACACAGAAAGAAAGAAATCATCCCCCAGTGGTGATTGCAAGGGCATGCTGCAATCCCTTCTCTTCCATTTACCTCTTGGGATTTTGGGCATGAACACACATGCGTCCAGCATGAGTTCTAAGCTGCTGGGTGTGGATCTCAAACCTTGGTCAACTGCATGGGAGTCCAGGGCTGTAACCATTATGCCATCAGATGGTCCCAATATTTGTTAATCAAGGACATACACTATTGTCTTTGAGAGCCTGGCTTATTTCACTTAGCACTATTTCTTCCACATTCATCTATTTTGCCTGGAATGACAACAATTTATCCTTTTAATGTTGAATAGTATTCCATTGTTTATGCATATCAAAACTTCTTGATCTACTCATCAGTTGTTGAGCATTCAGGCTGATTTCATATCTCAGCCATTGCAAATAATGCTGCAATAAACTTGTAAGTGCAGATATCTCCTTGACGTACCCTTTGGATATATGCCCTATAATGGGATTACTGGCTCATAAGATGGTTCTATTTTTGGTTTTTTGAAGAATATTCATACTATTCCATAGTGACTTCAATACTTTGCATTCCCATGTGTAGTTGCCTATGTTTCTGATCTTTAATACTACCTTATACAATATAGCAATTTGTAAATTTTTCAACATCCCAATGAAAATGTCAACAGAGCCTTTTTCTTAATTAGACAAGCTGATTTTAAGTTCATATAAAAAATAAATAAGTAAAAATAATTAAGCAATCCTGAAAAAGAAAAATTGTGGTGAGTAACCCTACCAGATACTAAAATATTTTAATGCTGTTATACCTAAATAAAAGTATTGTCATATAAAAAGAAATACACTCCAATTAAATTGAATAGAAAGTTTTTAAATAACTATTCGAATTTAGGATATGATAAAGATGACATCTTAGGCAGAGAAAAGGTGGAAATACAATAAACAGTTGGCACAAACAGATAGTTATCTGAAAAAATTAAATCCGTATTTCACACTGTATGCCAGGAAAAACCGCAGACTAATCAATGATTTGAATGTAAAAAAGAAATAATAAAGAGCATTAGAAGAAAACATGGGAGAATGCTTTCCTAACCTAGGAATTTCAAAGAAAGCCTTTCTAACTATGATTCAAGATTCAAATGCCATATAAGATGCCCTAGAATTTGATAAAAGATAGATAGAAAACCTGATAGAAAAATGGGCAAACTTCATGAACAGACAAATGACAGAAAAGGAAATATAAATGGTCCTCAGAGATGGTCATCTGCCTCATAATAAGAAAAATGCAAAATTCAATGATTAAAATTGTCAGTCACTCAAAATTAGTAACAGACTTTATTAGGCACCTTTGGCATAATCTAATGCCTAATCTAATCACACTTACCTGAACAACTTGGGGGCAAGTCTACGCAGAAGGAATAAAAAGACTAGGAAAAGTACATTAAAATCTTAACAGATGGTGGTGTAGAGAAATTACAGATGATTTTTGCTATTTTCTTTATTTTGCTTTTCTATACTTTCAAGTTTTCTTCAGTGAACATGTATTCCTTTAATATTTTAAAAGCATGTTAAATGGTGATAAGAAGAAAAAGAGGGCAGTAGCTTGAAGGGGACAAGAACAGAGAAAAGACTTCTGAGGCTAGAAGCTAAGGAGAGGGTGTCAGGCAATTAGGGGCCTGACAAAGATAATCAAATCTTCTTTCCTCCAAAATAAACTTGCTTTCCCTGGGAAAATCATTTTTCTCTCCCTGTGTACTTAGGCCTTCAAGTAACTAATTTGCCAGTCATTACATTTGCTTAGCTAATGACTGCCATGGAAAGTATTTGCTTGAGAATTCTAATTTCATCATTGTGTCTGTGTCACTGACTTGAGTTCTTGCGCATTCTCTCCATCATAATCATGTTTTAGTCACTTACTAGGTGCCTGGCTTTATGTAAAAGGGTGAGGGCAGGGGCTGGCAGTAATGGAACAAAGGGAGTTCAAGAAGAGAGACAAAATTTTGAGGAAAAAGATAAAACAAAATACAAAACACTGTGGCCTGGATGAGGCAGCTTGAGAAGGCTGAGGATCAGATTCTTGCAGTTGGAAGACTTGAAAGGCCAATGGACCTAATGTCTTAGCCTGCTACTCAGAGAGAGGTGGTACTTACACTGGGCCTTGAGAAGCATAAGGGGTTTAAGTAGAGAGCAAGAAGAGGAGGATGGGGGGCAGAAGACTGAGAGAACAAAAGCAGTCTTTGTTGCCTCAGCCTTGTGACCTACGTGCACAGGAGGAAGCCTTCCAGAACAGTTAAATGATCCCTTCCAGCTCCAACAGCGCGGAGTCCTGCCAAGGCAGCCCTCAGGAGCTGCTGAGTCCCCAGCTCAGTTCCCAGCCTGGAGAACTCCTTTCTTCAAAACGCACCACTGCCTCGTCCTTCTCAGGCCCTCCAACTCTCCAGTTTTTAAATAATAAACTATCTTATGTGGTTCTTACTTGTTTGGTTTGGGTCAGAGTAAGAAGTTTAATCTAAGCTTTTCTTCAGAACCCGGAAACCCAATTCTTCAGACCTCGAATGCAAAAGTCTTTCCTTTCAGTTTTGAAGTTGCCCTAGGTTCCTGAAACTAACTTCACAGAAGAAGAAACAGCTTCCTCAACGTCCTATGTGCCCAGTAACCGTGAAAAACAGAAATAGTCATTCGAAGCGTTTCGAAAATAAACCTCTGAAAGCACATTGCCTACGGCGACACATTCCTGCCCTCCGGGTGGACAGGCGAGCTCCCCCCGCCCGCCCCACGCCAGGGTGCAGCGCGCAGCTGCCAGGACCCGCCGCGCTCGCTCCGCCTTCTGCTCGCTTATCCCGGGAGGTGGAGGCGGCGCCGCAGCGGGTGACCTGGCGCCGGCTGCCAGGCTGGAGACTTTGGGTTGCTGCAGTCTCACGGAGTCGAGCAGAAGATGCAGGAGCCACACGTGGAGGCCCGACAGAACTGAGGGCGGTAGCGAGCTGTGACAGCCCCCTGGACCGCGGGAGGCTCGGGCCCGCGCTGGCGTGCTCTGTACCCGACGGGCTGGCCCCAGGCCTGAGCGGTGGGAAGGCCCTGGCCGGCCTGGCACTCACAGCGAGGGTGGAGCTGCCTGAGAACCTCATTCCTTAGGGACTGGAGGCCTCTGCAGCACCCAACCTTTTTCTCTAAGATGAGGAGCCGAAGTAACTCGGGAGTCCGGCTGGACAGCTATGCTAGGCTGGTGCATCAGACCATCCTGTGCCATCAGGTAAATGTGGGGGTAGTGCCTGTAATCACTGAGAATGTGGAGTGTGGTAGCCTGGATGGAGACCCTGGGCGAGGGGTGTGTGTGCGTGTGTGTGTGTCTGCAGTGGGTTCTTCCACTCCCTTGCTGGTGAAACCACAAGGACACTGAAGGAAAGGTAGCTGTTGGACCTGGAACTGAACCAGGGACTGACTGACAGGCACCCTTAGAATCTCCTGAGTCATGGCTTTTCAACCCCCCTTCCCCCAGTCCCCAAGCCACAGCCTGAGTTCCAGCTGAGTAAGTTGCAAGATGTGTTGATTGCTTCTTGACACCCCCACCTATTCATGTTTGAGCATCATCTCCTTTGTTTCCTGGCCCCCCCCCC